TCAGGTAATGAAACATCCGTAAGTGAATAACCAGGCTCAGAGAGTCAACAATAGTGAGTTTTTAATATTTATTACTCACTACTATTCACTGGACGTTTCTTATTATTTCTTACTTTTTTTTTTTACTAGTTTCTTCTCTTTCTCAGAAGCTGTGTATACCTATGCTATATGCCAAGGGTGGGCAACTATGGCCCCTTTAGATCTGTGAACTTCAACTCCCAGAAATCCTGAGTCTCAGCAGGGACTTCTGGGAGTTGAAGTCCACAGGTTGTAAAGAAGCCATAATTGCCCACTGCTGCTGTAAGCCATTCCCAGAACTATTTCTTATGTATATTGTGAGGGGGGTAGGAATACACAACAAATTACACAATACAAATGTATTATTCTTTAAAATGCCACAAGACCTGTTAACTTCTGTGTCACTTCACTTTGCACAAACTAAAATCACGAAGGTGTCTAAAATTGTAATATATCATCAAAGGCTTAGATATGGGTCACACAAAATTAACAAACCTAAAAAGTGGTAGTATAAATCACTGCTGACAATAAAATGTTTGAGAATTCATGCTTTATCTAAAAGGTCTTCCTAAAATAAGAATGAAGAGACTTGTAAACTGGGGAAAAATGGGGAAAAGAACTGAGCTTATCTATTGATAGCTTTATAATAAAATGCAAAGCTAGGATCTCTGGCTGAGAAAATATAAGTAATCTTTGACTTAAAACCACAATTGAGCCCAAAAATTCTGCTACTACATGGGACATTTGTTAAGTGAGTTTTGCCCCATTTTATGACTTCATTTTGTTAAGTGAATCACTGCAACTGTTACATTAGTAACATGGTTGTTAAATGAATCTGGCTACCCCATTGACTTTGCGTGTCAGAAGGTCACAAAAGGTGTTCTGTTCCCCTTCCCCACACAGGCAAACACACAACCAGGCATGGTTTATTAAGCAATCAAACTAGAAACCCTTGCAGATATGAGTTTTGGCAGTAAACTGCGAAATGCCTGCCAAGTCAGTTTTCACTCACAGTAAGCAAGAGAGAGTTTCTCCTCAGTCCAGTTCAGTAGCAAAAAATAATCCATGAAGCAAGAGTTAGCCAAGGTCCAATCCAAATATGCACAAGCCAGATTTCAGGTAACGCAATGTGACTCTCAGGTTTTTAACTTTGACCGTCACAAAGCCTGAAGAGCAATCACACCCACTTTTATTCCTTGTCGGGTGTGGCTCAGTGACTCAGCTCAATCTCTGGCCCTCCTACGCCTCTTTCGTTGCTGTGCACGCTTCTCCCTCTGACGCTGCCTGGGATCAAGCCAGGATTCATCGTCCTTGCTCCCTATCTGTTGTTGTTTCAATATGCTTTCCTCCTGGCATATCCCAGGCTGTTCCTCTTAGCCTTCGGATGGAACCTGAGGCATTGCCAGAGAGGAGGGTCCTGGAGAGGGAGGCCTTATCAGTTCCTCCCCATCACCTTCTGAGTCCTCTTCCTCTGTTAGGACAGGCTCAGGAGTCGGGGTCACAACAAAAGGTGATCACCTGACCTCAGGACACTGCAGCCGTCACAAATATGAATCAGTTGCCAAATGTCTGAATTTTGATCATGTGACCATGGGGATGCTGCAACGGTCATAAGTGTGAAAAGTAGTCTTTTTATAGTGCTGTTGTAACTTGGGGCAGTCACGAAATGAACTATTGTAAGTTGAGAACTACCTCTATACCAACCAGGGAAATTTATTTACCAAAAACTATATAGCCACTCTTAATGCGAATGGTCGTTAACTGGGGCACCCTCTGAAAAATGGGTGCTTTCCAATTATGCGAGACCTCCAATTGCTAGAATTCATGCCAGCATAGGCTAATGGAGCTTATCTATTAGGCAAAATTCCTGCGAGGTCTCCCATTTCTGAAATCTTTCTGTTCTGTAGATCAGTCTTATGTTCTAAATGTCCATGTTTGTAAGCGTAAACGTTTTATTAGAGTTGAGTGAAGGACTGTCGATAGATTTCAAAGACTGAATAAACTGAATAAATGTGCAGGAACCTCCAGCTAGACTGGAAGGTGGTGTTAAGAGGGAGTTGAGTTTAGAGTCCTGGCACTGTAGAAAGCGGCAAAGGCCTGACTGCCCCCAGAATCCCTGAAACCTTATATGACCCTTCCCAGGGGAGTGAAGTCAGTCTGGCGAGATTCTTGTACCATAGATAACTAGCAATAAAACTTCAATTAGAGACTCTTCTTGAGACTCTTCTTCTTGAGACACGGGTGATTATGGTTGCTTCTGCATGACAATAAATCTATTTCTCTGATGCTGAGGGTAACATTACTGATCCCAATAATAACACTGCTATGGGGCAGAAGAGGCATGCAGGTCTGATGTGGGAGTTAATTCCATTCCAATGGTTAGTTGCCTTAAGATTTGGTGAAATATGCCTGATTCATAACAGCAACTACAGGTAGTCCTCAACTTATAACCACAATTGAGCCCCAATTTTCTGTTGCTAAGTGAGTTTTGCCCCATTTTATGACTTTTCTCGCCACATTTGTTAAGTGAATCACTGCAGTTCTTAAATTACTGACACGGTTGTTAAGTGAATCTGATTTCCCGATTGATTTTGCATCTCAGAAGGTCACAAAACCCCCCCCCCCCCCGAGACACTGCAACCATCATAAATATGAGTCAGTGATCAAATACCCAAATGTAAATCACGTGACCATGAGGATGCTGCAATGGTCATAAGTGTGAAAAATGATCAACAATCACTTTTTTCTTAATATACTAAGTTCCAGTTTCTGGTTAGGATTACATGAAGGGCAAAAAACAACAACAACAACAACAACATGGGCTCTGTATTTAACTCTGAGTTATACAGAAAAATAAATACAAAACTTTTCTCTTGAAGAAACTGTCTTCCAATACAGCCCCATTTTAGGAACAGTGTAACTATTGGAACATTTTAGGAAAAGACACTGCTATACAAAAATATTAACAGTGGAAAAGAATAGAAATACCACTTGAATTTGCAATCTAAAACTATTCCTGTTGCATGGATGGACTTTTGTCTTGTCCAAACTTAATTTGGAAGGATGGAAGGCTGAGTCAACCTTGAGCCGGTGAGATTTGATCTGCTGATCTGCTGAACTAGCAGTCAGCTGAAGTAGCTGCAGTACTGCACTCTAACCACTGCACCACCTCGGCTCATTAAGCTTATTAGCTTAATGAATTAGCTTATTTCCTTCTGGAAATACTACCATTACCATTACTTTGATGTTGGACTCAGATAAATAATGCAGAAGGATACCATAATAAATGGTATTAAATACCATTTAAATTATAATCAACAGAATCCTGTTCTAAGGATATTTTACTAAGGTCTACCCTTTTAGTCTCATGTCCAGAATGGTTATCAGGTGAAAATAAGCCTAGAATATTAATTTAATCTAGGAAAATCACAATCCCTAGCTCCACACTCTATCTTCCCCATCAAAGAAATACTGAGCCTAGCCAAATAATTCTGCAATGTCTTAAATAATGGCTTTAAAGCAACATATTTACATTTTAGCTGATAACATCAAAATAATAAAATTGTTGTTTGTATCTCAGGCCAAAGCTTTCCAAAGCCAAGACTACAACCTTCAGATTTCCCATGTCGGGCAGGAATTTTGGGATGAATACTTTCGACACATCTGGAAGATATCTAGTTGAGGAACAGCTTGTTCATATGCAGCACACAATAGTAGCAAATTAAACATACATGGATAGTCAGAGCAGATTCAAATTGAGCGCACTTAGGTATTTTGCAGAGAAATGAGAAGAAACCTTGATCTTCTTGGTGGAAACCAGAGCTGTAGGCTACACTAAAAGTGCCAACAACTATGCTGGAAGAAAGCAATGACAATTTCTACAAAGCTTCAAAAACAAATTACATGTCCATGAAATCTACAGGGGTTGAACTACTCAGAAGAGACACTGCCTGCAATCAGTGGTATATGACAGTATATTCACCTCCATCAGTGAAGAGTAAGATGGAAGAAGAACTAAATTTGTGAAATTTTATGGAATGTGCACAAACAGATCAGTTCCAAAATCTTGTGGTGAACTCTTTTCATCATTTTTCTTCATACCGAATAGTAAACATGCATTTTTTTCTTTACCTCTCTTTTTTATGGTTTACCCCAGACTTCAAAATATCATCTTATTTAGTAGAGGCCAATTAATTTGTAGAGGCTCTCAAAAACCTCTCCTGCATGAGCTAAACATCAAGGCCACTATGATTGACAACTGTAATCATCTGCTTATTTATTCTTAGCAATAAAACACCAACTCAAAAAACTCTGCACTAAGTAAACTACAATCAATCATGTGCCAAACTAAAGCCTGTATATCATATGCTGTTTTGCCGATCTGACCACTGGACTGCATGAATACAGGTAGTCCTTGACTTACAACCAAAATGGAGCCCAAAATTACTGTTGCTAAATGAGACAGTTAAATGAATTTTGTCCTGTTTTATGAACTTTCTTGCCACAGTTATTAAGTGAATCACTGCAGTTGTTAAGTTATTAACATGGTTGTTAAGTGAATCTGGCTTCCCCATTGACTTTGCTTGTTGGCAGGTCACAAAAGGTGATCACATGACCCTGGGACACTCTAACCGTCATAAATATGAGCCAGTAGCCAAGCGGCTGAATTTTGATCACGTGACCATGGGGATGCTGCAAAAATCGTAAGTGTGAAAAACGGTTGTAAGTCATTTTTTTCAGTGCTGTTGTAACTTCAAATGGTCACGAAGTAAACTGTTGTAAATCAAGGACTACCTGTATGGCCCATGAAAGCTAACAGAACCAAATCTTGACTATGGACACGTCTCAATACATAGCATGCGCCTCTCCTAACATAACAGGTTTTCCCCCCTCAAAACAGAGCACTCTCACTTACTGGGAAACAAACAGTAAATAGGTAAGGGTGTTGTGGTGATGACAGATCAGTAACATATCAAACTTACCTTACCAGTGCATCTGGTTTGCTTAGCTGGTTATTGGGGATACAATTTTCCATTAAGTCTTTATGTGTGCTTGGGCTCTTGCTAGTGCACTTCTGTTTTTTCTCATTCTTAGCTGATGAGGAAGGGATGCTTCCATTAGTTGCACTGTGGTTGTGAGGTGAGGAGTTCACAACTCCACTAGCATTTTTGTAATTTTTGGATGAGGCAGTGCATGAGTCCTCTTTTAAGAGGTTTTCTGTACTTCCCACAAGATCGTTATTTAATCTTTTACTGTTGATATGGTTCTCCATATATTCAATTTCCTGTATTTTAGAGTCTACAGGTTGCAAAATATTGTTATTTATTCCAAGGTTATGTTTTTTGGCATCCTTGTCTTTTTCTTTCCCCTTTTCTCTGTATTCTAGTTCCGGTAATGTTGTAGATAATTTTTTATTAGCTGGAATGCCACCATTGTGTTGCAAAAGTATTGAGGAATCCATCTCAGACAATCCTTTGGCTACTGAAATATCCAGAACGAAGGAAGGAAGGAAAGAAGGAAGGAAAAGACAACATTTAAAATTTAAGTCAGAAGTAACATTTATTCTCATATTCCTTTTACAAGCATATTACATTACTCCTATTATTCCCCCACACCCAATAAAATATTTTTCCTTTAGTTATATTGCAAAAAATAAATTAAAATTCCTAATAGTTTCCAAATTAATGGAACCCTGAGACTGATTCCTGTGTTGCACCAACCAGGGCATTTCAGTAAACTTCAAAATAATTTTTAAAAATCCATCTAACCCTCTTTCTAAATACAGACAAAATTTATACCAATTTAAGAAATGTCCAGCTGCTATTTTGTATGATAAATTAATATAAAATAATAATAATGTTGAAACAAAAATACAGCTTCATCAATTTTAGTCAAGATCTTATGTCCCTCCTGGAACTTGAGCAAGCAAGTTACAGCTCTAAGGCCAGACTCTGTTCTCAGCCAAATTTCCTCTAGTTTCTCTGCCTAATAGCAAGAAACATTTCTGAACATGTTTTTCAAATATTGAAGTTTTAGGATATTATTTTAATGACCCAAACCATGTTTAAATCACCAACAGAAATAAACAAGTAACTGCAAAAGACTTTTTTAAAAGGTAAGATTTTTTTAGAAAATAAGTATTTGCCCCTGCTACAACATAATTTTCTAATCTGATTTAAATCAAAGGCATAAAAGGCTATAGGAGTCTGATTAATACCAAGCACAGTTACCTAAACTTATCATTTCAACTGAATATATTTCTTAACCCATATCCCGTACGATTAAGAAATACTTTTCAAACTGCCTCCAACAAGGCTAATTTTACTTTATTAGAATATTGTCTGTATAAACATAGGACAATCAGTTACAAAGAGGCTACACAGCATCCTACAAAGAATTATACTCCCGTAGCAAAAGATTCACTATGGGTATATTCCAGTGGTGGGTTTCAAATTTTTTTTACTACCGGTTCTGTGGGTGTGGCTTGGTGGGTGTGGCATGGCTTGGTGGGCGTGGCTTGGTGGGCAGGGCAGGGGAAGGATACTGTAAAATCTCCATTCCCACCCCACTCTAGGGGAAGGTTACTGCAAAATCCCCATTTCCTCCTGATCAGCTGGGATTTAGGAGGCAGAGAATAGATGGGGGTGGGGCCAGTCAGAATTTTTACTATCGGTTTTTTGAACTACTCAAAATTTCCACTACCAGTTCTCCAGAACTGGTCAGAACCTGCTGAAACCCATCTCGGGTATATTCACAGACAGTTCAGCCTTTATTCTTCACAGTATGATAATATTAAATATGACCTATATGACAAGTTTATAGTTTAAAATCCACTGCAAAGTTGCTTGTTTTGAATATTTAAAAAATGACTTCAATTTTTCTTCCACCTTCACGTTTCATAATACGGAACATAACTTTTATCTGTGAATAGTCTCAAGTTAAGAACTATTAATTACTGCAAAGTCCAGTGAAAGTAATAGATGAAATCTCTCCACATACCCCACACAGGATCAGGTCATTAATTTATGTTCAGATATTTATTTCCAAAATTCTTTTCATTCTGTACTATCAAAGAGCATACACAACCATCATTCAATTAGTACACTGAACATGATTAATGTATAAATATCAAACAATTTACTGTGAAAGGTTATTAAGTCATAAAATGTACATGCTGTCCGTGTGTTTAACAAAGGAGTTGATTTACTAGCCTTTAATTTCTCCTGAGAAATGGAGAACTCTAAATGTCATTAATTTTTCCCCAAAATCACTGGTGACACATAGAATGTGAACTATATGGAGCTCTCATACCTCTCATTCCAAACTCTAGGAATCAGGAACCTATTCCTTTCCTGTCCCCCCTTCAGAATGATCACCTCCCTTTCTTTTTTGAATTGACTTGTGTGTGGTTATTTTTTAATCCTTGTAACAGTGTTCCTATCTTTGCACACAAGTCTGAGAATGTTCTGACTGAAACCTGGACAGCAAAGCTAGAATTTATATAATGTGGCTTATATGCAGATCTATGGCATTCAGAAAGACATATTCTGCTGAATTTTTAAAAAATCACGCAAAAAACAATTTGGCCAATAAACAGTATATTTCAAAGAAAATGCTCACAAATCTATCTGTGTAAGGAAATACACCAGTCCTTATTAACAGTAACAACATTATTGGTTATTCTTGAACACTTGTAAAATATTCTGCAAATATATAAGTCAAAAGTTCTCTTCTGCTCTTTTCCCTCTCTCTCTTTTTTTAATACCTTCAAGTCAGTCTTGACTCTTGGGCCCTGAACATTTTTGGCAGCATTTTCTGAAGTGGTTTGCCATTGCCTTCTTCCTAGGCTGAGAGAGAATGAGTGACCCAGCATCACCCAACTAGCTCTGTGCCTATCGGTGGGGCTAGAATTCACACTCTCTCACTTTCTAGCCTGGTCCTTAACCACTGTATGAAGCTCTATCTTTTATCCTTAAGAATCTAGAAAAGAGCAGAAGATGAAATCACATTTGCAAAAGTGGTATAGAGTCAGCTTTGTTCCTCTTCTGTGACTTTGCAAACTGACAGGAAAAAAAGGGAGCAGTGCAGCTCACTGACTGGAAAGATTTACATCAGGGATGGGTTCTGCTTACCTTTACTACTGGTTTGCATCGTGCTCGCGCATGCTCTTCTGCGCATGCACAGAAGCTTCTGTGCATGCGCAGATCACCTATGATGACGTCTGGGTCAGTGGGCGGAGCCTCCCGCTGGTTTTACTATTGGTTCTTGCAAACCAGTCTGAACCGGGGGCAACCCACCACTGATTTACATACCTACTGTACTTATTGATTGTGAACCAAGGTAATACTTCATCTGGAGTAGAGATATCAACTGCTAAAATATGATACATATTCGAACATAATTTGGGCAAAAATTCCCAGGGCAAAGTGCGTTTTAAAGGGTGAATGGTGATGTTCAAGAAAATGGAGTTCAAACAAGTCAAAAAGAGAAACTCAGAATTAAGACCATCTAGCAGTATAAAATCTCCTAGTGAACAGAAAGGAGGGGGGAGGGAAGAGTCTAAATTTGAGAAGACAATTTGGAAGGCCTAACCACTAGCAACAATAGCAATAACAATAGCACTTAGACTTATATACTGCTTCACAGTGCTTTACAGCCCTCATTAAGCTGTTTACAGAGTCAGCATATTGCCCCCAACAATCTGGGTCCTCATTTTACCCTCCTCGGAAGGATGGAAGGCTGAGTCAACCTTGAGCCAGTGAGACCTGAACTACCAAGCTGCTGGCAGCCAACAGTTAGCAGAAGTAGCCTGCAATACTGCATTCTAACCACTGCGCCATCGCGGCTCAGTGTGACACATACTAAATCTGGGCAAGTCTGGTATGTTCCATTCATCTTCCAAGGATGTTTGGATTAGAAACCGCTGAAGAACATGCTGTAAACATGTGTTTGTTGGTGCTAACTGTAGCTAAATTGTGTGTGGGGGGGGCGGAGTGAAAGAGGAACTTGGTGGATTTAAATTGTGGCTTTTTATTGCTGTATTCCAACCGGAGTCACTATATATGAGTTGGCCAACCATATAAATTTGTTTAATAAGTAAATAATTAACAGATAAGTTACTACAGTAGCAGAATCTGCAATGGCACAGAGGATACAAGATTTCGGAGATCAATAGCGATGTGGCGCTCCCATGTGACCCCCCTCCTGCGCGAGCTGCACTGGTTCCCGGTGGTCTTCCGGGTGCGCTTCAAGGTTTTGGTTACCACCTTTAGAGCGCTCCATGGCATCGGACCGGGTTATCTACGAGACCGCCTTCTGCTACCAATAGCCTCTCATCGACCAGTACGCTCCCACAGAGAGGGGCTCCTCAGGGTGCCGTCGGCCAAACAGTGTCGACTGGCGGCCCCCAGGGGGAGAGCCTTCTCTGTGGGGGCACCTACCATCTGGAACGAGCTCCCCCCAGAGATACGGAAGATCCCGGACCTGCGCACGTTTCACCGTGCTCTCAAAACTTTTCTATTTCAGCAAGCTGGCCTGGCCTAACTCCCATCTTTTAAATTTCTTAAATTTTTTAATTTGTGATTTTATAAATTGGGTGTTTTAATCTGTGTTTTGGCCGAAATATTTAATAATTTTAAGGGATTTTTTAAATATTTGTATTATCTGTATTTTATCTTGGCTGTTCACCGCCCTGAGTCCTTCGGGAGTAGGGCGGTATAGAAATTTGATTAATAAATAAATAATAAATAAATAGTAATATTATCATAGCAAATAACGTTGTGACCTAAATTATTTAGACAACTGCACCAAGTTCTAAGCAAAGGAGCACACACACAATTTTGTAATATTGATCACTATATAGAGGATTCCAGAAATAGGAAGTTTACTCATAGGTAATCCCATCCCTTTAAAAGCCCATCTGCTGCAAGGAAAAAAAGGAGAGGCAGATGGGAGAGAGAGAAGGCAATCTTCTCTCCTAGGAAAAATGAATCATGTACCTTTACTTATCCTGGGGCATGACCAAAGATTCAACCTGTGCTTCTTCTAGAGAAGGGCAAATGGAATATCTCCAAATAAATTCTGCATATATATTTACAGACTATACAGGGGAAAAAAGCCTTAAACTGTATAAACTGTGCTGTGGTACTGATTGAAGAAGCCATGGTCTGGATTTAAAGAGAAGGGGGGAATGTACCATTGATTCATAAGATGGGTTCCAAAACTGCAGATCATTATGTCTATGGAGATTCTCAGTCATCCAGGTCATAGTTGTCCCAAAGTGCTTTTTTTCAAGAGGCAATGGGACTTTCTGGTTTTTCTTTGAAGATGTTTCACTTCTCATCCAAAAATCTTATTCAGATTCTTCTTGGATTAGAAGCGAAATGTCTTCAAAGAAAAAAAAGAAAGTCCAGTTGCCTCTTGAAAAAAGCACAATGGTGCACACCATTACTTCTACCCAAGGCCTGTGTTAAGAACCTACCTTCTTCTGCTTCTCTTTCTTGCCTTTGTAGCATCTGTTGTTCAGGGGGTAATGCTTGCTGAAGGAGTTGCATGTAAAATTCATTTTCTTTCTGCACTTCCTTTTGTTTTCGCAATCGCATTTTATAGCTGACATAACTTTTGAAGCCAAAGCCCAAAGTCACAACAGGGTATCCAATACTTGAGGGGAAAAAAACAAGACAGACTTTACTAATTAAGACAGAACTATCTAAGCAAATTAATATAATACTCTAGAACCGTGATGGCGAACTTATGGCATGTGTGCCAGAGGTGGCACCCAGTGCCCTGATGGCACACGAACCGTCAGCCCAGTTCAGCTCTGCTGCACATGTGCGCGTGCCTCCCGCCGGCCAGCTGGTCTTAGGTCTCTACCATGCATGCACAGGAGGTGTGGGGCATGCGGGGGTGTGTGCGCATGCATGGGGAAGTGCAGGGGGCCGTGCATGCATGCGTGGGGGGCATGTGGAGGGCATGCACGCATGCACAGGGGTGCGCACACATGCACAGGGATGTGGCATGTGCACATTGCATTTTGGGGGTTTGACCACGTGCATGTGCATTCACGTGCGCACACTTTGGGCACTCGGTCCGGAAAGGGTTAGCCATCACTGCTCTAGAATATGACAAAGGGAAATCACAATGGAGATATCAAAGAATTATCCTTAGAAGCACTTTGTCTACAGAGGAAGAAAGACACAGATATTCAGTCACTTTTCAGTCATCCGGTTCAAGTGCATCTTTCCTAAGAGCTTGGCATGGCTGCTGCTTAACTTAGCTGCCAAGTCTCCACTGTTGTGAGAAACAGAATCCATTTTTAAATATTGGGAAGGTGCAGTTGAAATTATTGAAAGATTTTATAATTTCCCCCACTGGGTGTTTCAAAACACAGAGAGTAAGACATTAATTTTCTACATTTATTATTTATGAATTAAAATAATACATTTCGGAATAAAAATTAAAGTCCTGCAGCTATACATTTTGCTCATGTTTGGAAACTGAACATTTTTGAGACTTATACAATCTCAGCATAACCCAAAGTGCCAATTTGGTACAGTGGTTAAGGTGCTGGCGTAGAAACCAGGAGTCTGTGAGTTCTAGTCTCATTTTAGGCATGAAAAATTAGCTAGGTGATTTTGGGCTAGTCTCTGTCTCTCACACGGTGGCTGTTGTGGAGAAAATAGGAGGCGGAAGGAATATTGTGTATGCTGACAAACTTAAATTACCTATAAGATAATAATGGCGGGGGAGGGAGAGACACCTAATAAATAAATAAACCTCTATGAAATTTTGCCCCATTTTATGACCTTTCCTGCCACTTTTGTTAAGTTAGTGACATGATTATTAAGTGAATCTGGCTTCCCCATTGTTTTTGCTTGTCAGAAGCTTGTCATGTTGATCACATGACTTCTGGGACACTGCAACCATCATAAATGCATGCTAGTTGCCAAGCGTCTGAATTTTGATCACATGACCATGGAGATATTGCAGCAGTCTTGTGAAAATTGATCATAAGTCACTTTTTTCAGTGCTATTGTAACTTCAAGCAGCCACTAAATGAATGGTTGTTAAGTCAAGAACTATCTGTAATCATATCCAGAATTAAATACAACTTTTAGAAATCACTATCACCATGGCTTAACTCCATTTTTTATGCTGGTTTATGACTGTAATAAAGATTTGATTTGAGAACACTCCCTTTTGTGAATCACCCAACACTTATTTTCATCCACAAAACATAAATATGAAAGTTGAAAGGAAATTGGATTCAACTGCTCAGAGCTAACATTTAGTTAACTAACAAGGGGAAAAATAATTTGATTGCAAAAACATCACAGGCTTTGTAATCAAATAATAGAACCAACCTGTAATAATATAAGCTATTTTAACTGAAAATGTATTTTTTGTAGCACTCCAATAACATAAAAGGTGCAGAATCAGTTAAGTAACAAATGCTGACAACAATCTGAAGGAAGAATTCAGGAGATTTTAGCAGGCAGTGAAATAAAATGATTTTTTTAAAAATCATGGTCAATGACCAGAAAAATCTCTGTTAAAAAAAAATAAATGTAAAAATGCAAAACAGTAAAAGTATAACAGCAAAAGCTAGAAGGCAATAAAGAATAATGCAGACAAACAATAATACAATAAAAGTAAGACAAAGAAATCAACAATTGTCCAGTTCTATAGGCAAACTGTAGCAACATTTAAGGAAATTATGTCTTTCTAGTCAGACTATAAATAATAGTGATAAAATACAACTCATGTGGTCTGAGAACTTGATTAAAAGGGGAATTATAAAAGTTGCTTAGATATAAAAAATGGTGAGCTGTGCTCCCATGCTATACATTAATTCTGATCTGCATATGGCATCTTCTTAAATTTCCCTTTCAATGCAGCCATGGTTAACACACTGAAACACACTCAACAAACACAATGGTTTTTAATAAACTACAATTGCTAATTTCAATCAAAGGTTTAATCATTAATTTGATTCAAACAACATCTGCTATCCCAGGTCCTTGCGAAGAATTCAATAGGTGGGTCAAAATGCCAAATCTAATCTAGACTGGCTAACTGTGAGACCAACCACAATAATTTGGTAAGATACTTGTAATCTGACTTATTATGGAATTTATATTTGCGTAATGAAACCTGGTCTCTCGCTTTTCCTACCTAGTTCCAATTTAAATCCTATACCAATTCTGCACCTGATGAAGAAAAAAAATACAGCTTCTGGGGTTTTTTTTTCCCCTACCACAGGTTAGGGACATTCCTCCTACAATAGATAAATCTCTTCTAAATTTTGGCACCTTCAGGTAATTTAAATATCTAGTTGATTTTTAGGAAATATGAGAAACTGGTTTGAATGTTATTGTACCAATGATGGCCGGGGAATAATGCAAATCCAGTTTCCCCCATTGGCTGTTCGAAGTCAGCTGGGAAGGTTGCAAATGGTGAAGATGTGACTCCAGGACATTGCAACCATCATAAATAAATGCTGGTTGCCAAGCATCCAAATTTTGATCACGTGATTCCGGGGATACTACGCTGGTTGTAAGTACGAGGACCAGTCATAAATCACTTTTCTCAGTGCCACTGTAGCCTTGAATGGTTAAACAAATGGTTGTAAGTTGAGGACTAGCCTATAGATGGGCTAGGGGTCCAATCCAGCAGGGCATCCTTACGTTCTTACAGGTAGTCCTTGAAGTACGATCACAATTGAGCCCAACATTTCTGTTGCTAAGCAAGACAGTTGGTAAGTGAATTTTGCCCCGTTTTATGATATTTCGTGCCATGGTTGTTAAGTCAATCATGGCAATTGTTAAATTAGTAACATGTTAGTTAAATGAAGCTGGTTTCCCATTGACTTTGCTCGTCAGAAGCTTGCAAAACGGTGTTCTGCCCCAGCTACGGACCCCAAAGAACGCAGCACGCACAAAGTCCGTTCAAACCTTAGTTTACTAAATAAACCAGTTTTTTACAACAACGGCTATTAACTGCATTAACAGCCGCCAAGAATTCAAAGAATAATTCTGAAAGCTTACTGTGGTTGGCAGAATGCCCAGAAGCAATTTGCAGGAAGCTGATAAGCAAGACAAGACACGAAGATATGTGAACAAAGTTGTTCCCTGCAAATTGCTTCAGTCAGCGTTCCTCCTTAAATAGGCCCAAGCCTTACTCTTGAGGAGACCTCCTCCTGAGGAGCCACTCCTGCCTTTTGGCAGCTCTGTGCGCCCATGCATCGAGAAGAGGCTCCTCCTCTTCGTTGTCTTCACTTAAGGGAGGTCCTGGAGGTTCTGAAGGCCCTGGCTGAATCCGCTGACGGGCCATAACAAAGGGGGATCACATGACCCCAGGACACTGCAGCTATCATAAATACATGCCAATTGCCAAGCGTCTGAATTTTGATCATGAGATCATGATGAATACTGCGAAAAGTGGTCATAAGTCACTCTTTGCTGTACCATTGTAACTTTGAATGGTTACTAAATGTAAGTCAAGGACTACCTGTATTTCAAAGCATTGCTTAAGAGAGGAAAAATCCTGGAATGTACACTTACCAGTGTGCAGCAAAAGGTCGACAAAGGTCTACATGAAAGTTTTTGAGATCCTTAAATCTGATTGCTGCTTCAATATAAACAAACAGTATCCATAGTGATACTGTTGGTAAACACACGCCTCTCTCTGTTGGAAACAGAAAACAAGCCAAGCATCAACATTAAAAAGAAAAAAGAAAAGAAAAGAAAAGAAAATTAGACTTCTTAAAATAGGATGCGTAATTATGAAGGGGAAAAGCCCTATGCTATAACTGAGCAAAGCTAACATCCATTACTCTTCTTTGTACAGAGACCCAAAATGACATGGAGGTTAAGATGCTGGACTGAGATTAGGAAACCAGGTTTCCAATCCTCCCGTGGGCCCAGAAGCCAGTGGGCTGATCTTGGGCAATCACATCTTTTCACCATAAGCTCTGCAATAAGTCAGCTGAACAGCAAAACCCCTTATTGCATCATCCATTTGATAAACATCGCTAAAAGAACTAAGTCAGGGGTGGGGAACTGTGGCCCTTTTATAACTTGTTGTTCTGACCTAGGCTTCCTGAGAAAGCATAAACCACAATTTTAGTCCCCAAAAAACCTCTTTTATTGAGACGGCTGTGAATTATGGTCATTCACTGCCCCATAATGATTCATAAACAGTCTGTGAAGATTCAAACAGATGTTTGCTTGAATTGACACAGTCGTTCAGGGTAATGTTGATAAGGAACCCATCTTAAAACGCTGCCAGAGACCTAGTTGCCAATTACTTTTTCTTTGCAAGGCCAAACAGAACACAGAGTCAAACGGACTTCTCAGAGCTTGAATTGACTATATGAACTAATTGCTTCCTGCAAAGACTCACGTCTGTTTGCTCCTCTTTTATGTCTTATGGGAGGGGCCAATCAACTCCAAGCCTTACTCCTGAGTCACCTTTTTTTTAATTGTTAATTGTTAACAATTAATTGTTCTTGCCTTCTGGCAGCTCTGCGCATGCACACACTGGGAACAGGCTCACACTGTTCTTCTGCCTCGCTGATGTCAGATTCCGGAGGCAGCACATAACTCCCAGATGGCTCTGGCCCCCTCTCTGCCTCCAACACAGAGCCCTCGTCCGAGCCTTCCCCAGACTCCAGGACAGGCCCATGTTCCTCCCCAGGACTGGGCCATGTTCCTCCCCATGGGACTGGCCCATGTTCCTCCTCCTCAGGCTCAGGAATTCTGGGAGTTGAAGTGCACAAGTCATAAAAGGGCCGTAGTTCCCCATTTTGAACTAAGTGAATGCAGTGCAAAAATAAGTAGACATGAAGCTATGTCGAAGCAGCATTAACAACTAATTGCTATTAATTCAAAGCAAGTCTTTTGAATCTCTCTATGGCAAAGCTCTTGTCCTGCATTGTTGGGCTCTGTCATTATATATGCTACAATATAACCCCTATAACACCCAGCCAGCCTTGGCCTTGCCTGCTAGGAATTAAGGACGGTTATTTCAACTTTTCTGGAGATCAAAAGGATGGTTTACTGTAAGGTTAATAATGAACTTTACTACCTAAAGATAAGAAGAAAAACAGAGCCAGTATCCTGCAAGAATTCTAAACATCAAAACACTTTGGAGCTTCCCACACAGTTTCCAATTTATTAGGCTGAATCGCAAAACATGAGATCTGACATTCTCAATAAACATTTTAAATTTGAAGACAGAGTAAATATGGACATCAGGCTTCTGTTCCTTTTGCTCTTGCAAGTTACAGGGTGGATTATGAGGTAGGGTGTGTTTTGATGATATAGTTAATTATTGCCAAAGCATGAATGAATAGTGAGTGACTCCTTGATAGCTTCTCCTGAAGCACTTTTACGTGCATTCACAAAAGATATTTTACAAAGAAGTAAGATACATGAACAGGTCCACCATCTCGTGCATAATTTGGAAGAGAGCTTCTATATTTTAAACTGTGAAATAGTTTAACTGTGTACAGGTAGTCCTCAACTTATGACTGTAAGTGAGCCCAAAATTTCTGTTGTTGAGTGAGAAACATCCTAGTCGTCCATTTTACGACTTTTCTCGACTCATTTGTTAAGTGAATCACTGTGGTTCTTAAATTAGATTGTTAAGTGCATCTGGTTTACCCACTGGCTTTGCCTGTCAGATTGCTGCAAAAGAAGATCCCATGACCCCGGGACACTGCAACCGTCATAAATATGACCTGGTTGCCATGTGTCTGAGTTTTGATCATGTGACTACAGGGATGCTGCAATGTTCATGAAAAACAGTCACTTTTCTCAGTGCCATTATAACCTTAAATGGTCATTAAATGGACTGTTGTAAGTCGAGAACTACCTGTAATGAGATTTCAAGAATAAACCTGGGATCATAGGCGGACCTAGCGGGTATTACGGAGACCTGGTTGGGCCAGGAGGGGGGAGTTCTCCTCCTGGGGGGATATATGCCCACCAGGCTTCCGTGCATTCCATCAGCCGAGGGCTCAGGGCAGGGGCGGGGGGGGGGGGGGGGGGCGGTTATTATAAAGGAAGGTCTGGATCCAAGGGAGACCACTGTTCCACAGATAGCCGGATGTGAGTCCTTCTTTGTGAAGTGGGGTCGTGGAGTACAGATGGGCTTGTTGGTCACGTACCTGGCTCCCTGCCACGTGGCAACGGCCCTGCCCGAGCTGCTTAACGTTATAGCCGAGGTGGCAGTGGACACCCCCAGACTTGTTATCATGGGGGATTTTAACCTGCCATCTATCGGTGAAACATCTGAGGTGGCTCGAGAGTTCATGGCTTCCATGACGGCCATGGACCTTACTCAGTTAATTCATGACCCCACTCACACAGGTGGACACACTCTGGACTTAGTTTTTGTCTCTGGTCAGTGGTTGAGTGGCCTTGATATAGGGGATATAGCCATCGAACCCTTGTCATGGTCTGACCACTCGCTCCTTCGTCTGGACTTTCTAACCGCTGCACCCCGCCGCAGGGAGGCGGGACCGACCAGGTGGTTCCGCCCCAGGCGCCTGATGGACCCTGATAGGTTCCAGATGGAGCTTGGGCCATTTCCTGAGACTCTGGCTCATGACTCGGCTGAAGACCTGGTGGCCGCCTGGGATAGTGCGGCCGCCGGGGCTTTGGACCGTGTCATGCCTTTGCGGCCTCTGACCCGGCACCGAACTCACCTAGCTCCTTGGTTCTCCGAGGAGCTGAGGGAGATGAAGCACCGGAAAAGACGCCTGGAGAGTAGTTGGAGGACCAGCCGCTCCGAATCCGACCGAACACTGGTGAGGTCACATATTAAGACCTACCTAGTGGCGATAAAAGCAGCGAAATCTAGCTATTTTGCCGCTCTTATCGCGTCATCAGATAATCGCCCGGCCACCCTGTTTAGGGTGACCTGCTCCCTCCTCCATCTGGAAGTGCGGGATGACCCCTTGCAGGGCCGAGCTGAGGATTTTGTGCAGTATCTGTATGACAAAATCGCTCAGATTCGGGAAGGGCTGGCCTCTGACTGAGTATGTCCGGACGGGATGACTGAGGCAGGTCTTGAGAGCGTTATCTGGGAGGAGTTCGATCCTGTGGCTCCCGAGGACATGGACAGGGTCCTGGGACGGCTGAACGCGACCACATGTTTATTGGACCCGTGTCCCTCCTGGTTGGTACTGGCTTCCCGGGAGGTGACACGAAGCTGGCTCCAGAAGATTGTTAACGCTTCTTTGAGTGAGGGGGTCCTGCCGGCCACTTTGAAAGAAGCGGTTGTGAGGCCCCTCCTCAAGAAGCCCTCTCTGGATCCGGCTGTTTTGGCTAACTATCGTCCAGTCTCCAACCTTCGCTTCGTTGCGAAGGTTGTTGAGAGTGTGGTAGCGCAGCAGCTTCCCCGGTACCTGGATGAAGCTGTCTATCTAGACCCGCTCCAGTCCGGCTTCCAGCCTGGGCACAGCACGGAAACGGCATTGGTCGCGTTGGTGGATGATCTCTGGAGGGCTCGGGATAGGGGTTGCTCCTCTATCCTGGTCCTGTTAGACCTCTCAGCGGCTTTTGATACCATCGACCATGGTATCATGTTGCACCGGTTGGAGGGGCTGGGGGTGGGGGGCACTGTTTTGCGGTGGTTCTCCTCCTACCTCTCTGACTGGTCGCAATCTGTGTTGACAGGGGGGCAGCGGTCGACCCCGAGGCACCTTGCTTGTGGGGTGCCACAAGGGTTGATCCTCTCACCCCTTCTGTTCAACATTTATGTAAAGCTGCTGGGTGAGATCATCCGTGGCTTCGGGGTGGAGTTCCATCAGTACGCTGATGACACCCAGCTGTACATCTCCACCCCAGGCCACCCCAACGATGCCCTTGAAGTGATGTCTCAGTGCCTGGAGGCCGTGCGGGCCTGGATGGGGAGAAACAGGCTCCGACTCAACCCCTCCAAGACCGAGTGGCTGTGGCTTCCGGCGTCCCGATATAGCCAGCTGACGCCATCGCTGGCTATTGGGGGCGAATCACTCGCCCCCACAGAGAGGGCTCGTAACTTGGGCGTCCTCCTGGATGCACAGCTCTCTTTAGAAGATCATTTGACGGCCGTGGCCAGGGGGGCTTTTTATCAGGTTCGCCTGATACGCCAGTTGCGCCCCTTTCTAGATCGGGACTCCCTATGCACAGTCACTCAGGCACTCGTCACGTCCCGCCTGGACTACTGCAACGCTGTCTACATGGGGCGCCCCCTGGGGTGCACCCGGAGGCTCCAGCTGGTCCAGAACGCGGCCGCGCGGGGGATTATGGGGGCGACGGGGCGTTCCCATGTGACACCTCTCCTGCGCGAGCTGCACTGGCTCCCGGTGGTCTTCCGGGTGCGCTTCAAAGTGTTGGTGACCACCTTTAAAGCGCTCCATGGCTTAGGGCTGGGGTATTTACGAGACCGCCTTCTGCCACCAATAGCCTCCCACCGGCCAGTACGCTCGCACAGAGTGGGCCTCCTCAGGGTGCCGTCCGCCAGACAATGTTGGCTGGCGACCCCCAGGGGGAGAGCCTTCTCTGTGGCGGCGCCCACCCTCTGGAACAACCTCCCCCCAGAGATACGTACAATAACAGACCTCCGGATTTTTCGTCGGGCCCTGAAAACTTATTTATTTCAACTAGCTGGGCTGGCTTGAGTTAAATTTTAAACTGATTTTAAATTGGGTTGTTTTAAATTACGTCCAAAAATATTTAATCATTTTAAACTGCTTTTAAATTTTGTATGTTCTGTTTTTTATTCTGGCTGTTCACCGCCCTGAGTCCTATTGGAGAAGGGCGGTATAGAAATGGAAACAAATAAATAAATAAAGAAACTGGAGGCCAATTTAATAGGGACCACATGTGATTTTTAGACAAAAACAGGATGATTTTACAACTTGTTCTCAGATTTAATAGGCAATAAAATAAATAGGAAGACTTACCCGTATGCCAGACATACTGTACCCAAACATATGTACTGGCAGCAAAAAACAACCACTGTATTGGTATGAATAGCAGACATATGATATTTGATGTGAATGCTACACAAACGAAAAATACTGAAAATGCCTAAAGAGAATCAAAGGGTTGGGGAGAAGAGAAAAAGGAGAAAGTCCGTTAGGCTTTTTTAAAGATAGTGAACAGATTTCACTGAAGACATTGCAATTGCATCTATCTATCTATCTATCTATCTATCTATCTATCTATCTATCTATCTATCTATCTATCCATCCATCCATCCATCCATCCATCCATCCATCCATCCATAAATCCTTACAAAGATTCAACATTCTACCAAGAAAGCCACATAACAGCATTTTCCCCCTAATTATTAATAATAATTTCATGGATAACATTTTATTGCAACTTTATAGAAGAGAATTTCCTTTTTGTAAATACTGGTCATGCTCCTGATTTTCTCTCACATGGAATTCTGAATGTTTGCCTTCAGTATAATTTACCAAATGACTTGCTGGAATAGCATGGTTGTCTTTAATTCAAATTTGTTTCAGCTTATATGACTATAAGCACCCTTCAACCTAACAGTTCTAGAAATTCCACAAAAGTTTATCTATCAGAGTTCTTGCATGAAAATAATGTACATGAGTTATACATGAATTCAATGAGATTCACTCTAGTATACACAGGAACAAAAATGTAACTTTATTACTTTAGAATTATCTTTCCTTTATCTTAATCACTATCTATCACAGTCTTTATCAGTGTTTCTCAACCTTGGCAACCATGCTGGCTGGGGAATTCTGGGAATTGAAGTCCACAGAGCTTAAAACGGCTAAGATTGAGAAACACTGCTCTGTATGAACTGAGGCACTGTTTTTATTTTTCAGAACATAAAGGGAATTGCTAAATAAATTTACTCTGCATTTTAAGTAGCAATTTGAACCAGAGTATGCTAGTTGGATAAATTCATATTGATTATTTTTAAAATCTTATGCTGCCTTTCAAAGCATATTAAAATCTATTTATTTTCATTTATTCAATTTACATTCATAGAACAATATGTAAAAAGAAAAAGATTGTTATTGCGTAAAAGCTCACTGAAAGAAAAGGGAAAGACAATAAGCAAGCAGGATTTTTTTTTTCCAGAAGCATAGAGTTTCTTGATAAATCAGAATGCATATATTTGATTTATATCTTTCCACCCAAGAAAATCTTAACAGCTGCTAACTTTTTTTTTAATTCCCAAAAGTTAAAACTATAAAACTATTCTGTTATTCTATTATTAGAAATCTGGCAAAAGAGATGCACTTTTAAAATGTTTTTGCTGCGGTGATTTTAAGGATATCTGCAACATACTATAAACATCTGCTTATAATGACCATTATAATCCAGTATTAACCATGTTTGGTAACTATGAGACAAATGACTATTAGATATTGAGAGACACTCTGTCTGTATTCTTCCTGTCCTTTTGTCTCATGTTACTTGGTGTTCTCAAAATATCTGTTAGATCCAAAGCCTGCAATCCAAAGAGCTGCTTACACCAGAAGTCCTTTCCCCCTTAAAGTTCCTTGACCCTTGGATAAAAGTTGCTTCTGAACATCAAGGGGCCCTATTAAAGCAACAGCCAGGGTAGCAGAAGGGGATGTTCTGCAGCTGAAAATAGAGACAAGTACTCCTCCTTTTTTTGCAAATAACTTTTTCAGAGCTATATATATCAAACAGGACTTCAACTGAGAGATACATTGGAGAGCTACTAATGCTAATGCTAGTAATAACAATAAATAAGTAGATAAGTAGTTTTTCTATTTTTATACATACCAATCCCTGGTATCTGAAGGAATCATAAACACTCCGGATGAAAAGCCAGAATGGCCACAAATATTCAAATCTGAATTCCAAAACAAAGTCAGCCACCAACACGAGGGCCCAAACTACCAGGAACTTCAGATACAGGAAAGTACTGAAAGGAAAGAAGGGGGGGGAAACCCATTAATTTTGCATGTAGGCAAACTAGTAGGGCAATTTCATTTCTTATTCAAAATAAGCACATATGGGTCTGTATTAATAAACACAGAAGGAAGGGTCAAGTAAAAACAAAAAAAGTTACATAACTGAAATTTGCAAACATAATCTACACTATGTTATACAAAAGCCAACAAAAGTACATGGACAGTTGGTAGAGAAGGGACATTTAAAGAGCTGATGAAATAGAACTTCTAAAAACTTTTTTTAGAAGTGCCTGTGTTTTGTTTTTTCCTCCGGAGAATAACTTCAACATTCAGCACTTTCATCTTTCAAAATGAAGCATGTCTGCCATAGTTGTAGTTTGAATTATGGTCCTGTATATCAATCTGCAATGCTCATTTTATTTGCCTTCTGCTCAAAGATGCAGAAACGCTGAAATTTTGCTCTGTTTGCAGTCCATGCAAAATACAGATTATACTGAAGCAGACTGAAATTATATGGTTTAGTGGCATATAATACGTATCCCAGTTCCAATAAATGCTCAGATAATCAGTAGCAAGCATCAAAAATACTCTCTTTGATATTGAAGAATCAACAAAACTACATTGAGGTGAGTCTGTTAAAAGCGAACTTCCTTTTTGAGCAAAAACTATTATCTGGGGGTTAGGTTTCTATATCATTGTGTTGCCTGCTGCTTGGCTGTTTCCACTTGCTTTTCTGATTAAGGAATTTTTAAAAATGTGCCTGCTGGCCTTGGCTTATTTTTCTAACAAATCAGAGTTAGAAGATGTGGTATGTCCTTGGCTTCCAATATTTGGCTTATTTGTAAGATGTAAGACAGTTTCTGATTTACACATGACAGTAAGTAACTTACAAAGGGAAAATTTGCTTTTTCATTCTCATTGGCAGGAAGAAGTTAGCCCTGTTGATGTTGGAAGAGAGCCATTATCTTTGCCAAGATATCTGCCCAACAGTATTGATTTCATTAGACCTGGGTGCATCTTTATTTGTAAATGCCTATTTTTTTTGGTATAAAAAACTGCCAGTTTCTACTACAAAATTATGTGAATTCTTTTATTGAATTATCAATACTTCAAAGGATAGGCAGCTACTTGTAATACTTTAGTTCCCCTAACAATCAGTTTCCCCTAACATTGTACTAATTTCTGAATTACTTACTAAAATATCACATATTTTTCTCAAAGTTCACCTTCCAAGTTCACCCCAGGGAGCCAGTGAGTATTCTTATAGAATTTATATGATTTTTATGATCCATCTTCAGGGTGGTTGCAAGCAGAGTTCTGGAACTGAAGCTGTAACATTCACCTTGGGGAATGACTTCTGTCACCAGAACAGTAGGAATGCAGTCTTGTAAATTTTTCTAGCAAAGGAACATTTTCAGAGCAAGAGCCACATTTGATTTTTGAGCAGCATTTTGGGGATTCCAAAAATAGGCTAAGCTGGGACAAATGATCAGATCATGACAAATGGAGCATCTACCTTAATTAAAAAGTAAATACCTTACATCACACCTGATAAATTTAATATTTTTCCCCTGGGTTAAATGAAAAGTTACAAACTAGTGACAAATTTGGGCAGGGCCTTGAGGCCATGCTTTTCATTGAACATGTGTTGGCCTCAGGTTATGCGTTTTTGCAACAACTGACAGCAACCTTTGATATCATTGACAGTAATGTTTCCTGCTAAGCTGCACAGGTTGGGAATGAGAATAGTCTTATAGGTTTATTTTCTAACTGAATGGAGGAATTCTATTTGACTCCTTAAGACAACGGAATTTTGGAATCTGATAGGTACCCTTTCAATTCTCATACATTAAATCACTTGACATTGTTACCTGGACATTTGGGCTAAGGTGCCATTTGTCATAAAAATGACACTCAGTGTTTTGTCTCCTTCTGATTTCCATCAAATTCAAAAGAAGTCCTGTACTGCATGTTTTTGATCAGTGGTTGGGTGTAGTAATGCATTGGTTGAAAGCCATTTAACGCAGGGATGAAATCCAGCAGGTTCTGGAGAACCGGTAGCAGAAATTTTGAGCAGTTCAGAGAACCGGTAGCAGAAATTTTGAGTAGTTTGGAGAATCGGAAAATACCACCTCTGGCTGGCCCCAGAGTGGGGTGGGAATGGAGATTCTGCAGTATCCTTCCCCTGCCGTGCCCTCCAAGCCACGCCCATCAAGCCACACCATGCCCACCAAGCCACACCCACAGAACTGGTAGTAAAATAATTTAGATTTCGCCACTGATTTAACAGTGCCTCAATTTAGTCAAGATGGAGACATTATTGCAGGATAGATCTTTTGTTTAGCTCAGTAGCCTTCATCCTACTCTACTTGTCTTCCACAGCCTTCTACAATTCACAGTTCAGGAGTACTTACTGATCTAGTTTACGTACAAAAGAAAGCAAGCTATTGCTGGTGACTTAGCCCTATAAAAGACACCATCTGAGTACACAGCAAAGCACAATCAGGTGGATCTCACAGCAAACCATCTCATAGCAAACCGCTGTTTGTATACTAGCTCAAGTAAGTGGTGGTTTTGCATGGATTTGCAATTTGTTGACACAGAAATATTGAATTTGTGAACCAAAACAAGAACTGCTTGGCAAACTGTTCCTGCCACTGAAGGACAGGAGCGATGCATACATTGCCCGTGTCCAAACCTCAAGATTGTGACAGCTGTGAGAAATTGCTAGACGTCTGTTGTTGTTTTTTTAATGGATCATGAGATTATTCAAATAGGCTTCAAATGGAAAAAAGTCATTTATGAAACATATCAGTCTTGTAGTGTCACTGTAGTATCATCATTAACAGAAAGGACAGCCAGTTTGGTATACAATTAAAAGCAATGAGCTAGAACCTGGGGGACTGTGAGTTCTTGTCCTGCCTTAGCATAAAGCCAGATAAATAACTTTGGACTAGTCCCTGCCTCTTAGCTCTAGAGAAAAAGCAATGACCATCTGTTTCTGAAAATATTGCTAAGAAAACTGTAGGAACTGGTTTAGGGAGTCACCAGAAGTCAACACTGACCGAAAGATAACAGGCAAACAAACAAACAAACACACACACACACACACACACACACACACACACACACACACACACACAATCCCCCCAACCCCCCAAATCCTCTAAACCAGAAAACACCCCTTCCATCTGATGGGACTTCTTTACCAGACAGATTGTTCAGTTTAGTTCATATGAGTATCTTAAGAAGATTACTTCATATGACTAAAAAACATCTCACACAATCCCCATAAAGCAATGTTGTCAATTTTAAAAGCTGAATAAAATAATTTAAAGTATTTATCTGTTATAAAACAAGTTTTCCTGACCATTCAAATGCTGATTATCCTTGAATAATAGATGAAAACACTCTTTTCCATCGTTTTTTACTTTCTGTTTGCAGCGTAAAAGATAATGCACATGCTGGAATCCTTAACAGAATAATAAATTATCTACATGATTAGAATTACTGACACAATTGCTCAAGACTGTCCAAATATTTACTATATAATAAACACTATAGTATATAGTATACTATATATTATATGTATATATCACTAGACATTTATTACAAAAGCAAATGCTTCAGACATCTGTTCCCAACTACAATCTTCAGAGATAGGCCCCCATCTAGTAAAGCAGCTGATTAAATGAATTAAGGCAAACTTAAATGTTAATGAAATGAAAGAGTTACTGCAAACTTAATATTACGGATCTTTTAAATGATTAAAGAATTTAAAGAATATTGGGTCCATGCATTTTCTTCACTTCCAAAGTAATCATACCCTGAAAATGAAGATAAATACCCTCATAAATACAATGCAGTAATTTATTTTAAAGATGACTATATAACACATTTGAAAGAGAGTGATGAAATTGTAAACATTTATGTTCCATATACTGTATTTGTCCAAAAACAGAGGAGAAATTACTATTAGAAACATTTTTTAAAACCCAGAGTGGGCTTTATACACAATGCAGATTACACCATAGCAAAGGGAATCCCTGTGTATCAGGATTGCCTTTAGAAAGATAGATTGGAACAATTTATGAGGGCAATACCAGTAAATGGCATTTTCATAGCAAAAGCATAGCCGAAAAGTGAGAAGAAATTTGCACAGGAGAAAAAGAGGAAAAGCCAAGAGCCTGATAAAGTACTATTTGCTCCTACATACATTTAATCAAAACAGAGTAAAGGAAAGAAAATCTCCTGTTTTTTGGGAAAAAGTGGTGGTAGTTTAACTCTTTCAAGAAATATAAAAAAGATATTACAAAAGAAATATAATCTATAAACCCAGTTCAGGGATTTCTTTTCTTTTTTTCCCCAGTTCTTTTTCTATGCAACAATGCTGTCCTATGAAATCACTATCAAGGGAATTATGAAGTTAAGATTTTTAACCTATCCATTTATATCTCAAAAAGCATCATTTCACTCAATTTATGACCTCAAGACACAAAACCAGCAAAAAACATGCTGTAATAGCAATACCGAATCACAGATGTAGCACTTAGCATTAGCAGATCCAATCAAACATCAAGCATTAATGCTCTCTATCCTCATGCAATTTCCTCTCTTTAACAAACCGTAGTTGAGATTGCAGTCTGAGATCTGTAAGGACCAGGAGAGCTGAAAATCAGGAATTAACTCAAACTAGAGGAGGAGTGAGCAAGAACACGGCAATTCATGTAACTCTCCCCACCCCACAAACCATGCCTTGGGATTATAAAATGGCTTTTCCAGTGATGCCATGTTAACTTTAAAACTAGATCAAGCTAGATCAATATTAAGGCAAAGGAACTTAGATATAGGGTTGTAATTTAATTGTATACTTATAATAATTATAAGAGGGGATGCGGTGGCTCAGTGGCTAAGACATTGAGCTTGTTGATCGAAAGGTCGGCAATTCAGTGGTTCGAATCCCTAGTGCCGCATAATAGGGTGAGCTCCTGTTACTTGTCCCAGCTTCTGC